TGGCTATATTACAAACAAGTGTATATAGTACGTTTGAATAATACGCGCAAACAAGTTCTTATGCCTTTAAAAAAAATTAGTATTTAGATATTATGATAAACATTTTTAAACATTTATTTGCTTTTACATTTAAATATACTACGTGATAAAATTTACTTTTATTCAGGTATAGTTTTGTTCGGATCTTCATGCGGGAAGCGGGCGCTTGTACCTCTTTGGCTTCTGCTCCGAACTTGCCTTGATGAATTTCGACAGTATGCACAGCAAAAATAGCAAAAATTGCTATTTATAATCATTCTTAAATTTTTAGTAACTTTATAGGAGCAATACAAGAGCTAAGAGACATTCGCGGATTAGGAGCCAGGTCAAGTGAACGCGTTGTAGAACTATGGGTCAAATACATTTCAGCAAAAAGAAGATCACTAGATTATGAAGGTTTTAAATTGTTAACTTTTTAATATTACGTGTAGAATGGGCTGTCCTTGAACAAGTTTTGATTGCGGCGCTAGATTCAGGGGAAGATGAAGTCGCATACGTATTATTTGGACATTAATTCAAACCATATTTACATTTTCAGAATTGCTTGGAATGTTTAAAAGCTCAATTTCCAGAGAGTGCACGCGTTAATCGCTTATGTGGGATGTATCTTGAGTACAAAGGCTTGTATGTGGACTAAACATTGGCTTAATTCGAGTTATTCATCATGCCCAAAGAATTGATTTTTTATTCTTTATAGGTTTGATGATGCTCGTTCGATTTACGCAAAATTGCTTGAGGATGACATCACTAATACTGTGAGTAGCCATCGCTTAAACAATGTTTTACGTACCCAAAAGAAATATACAATGTGCATATTTTTAACTATTCGTATTAATTTTTTAAATCAACTATTAATGATTTGATTTTTGAAGTTATTTACAAAGCGTATATACTCTTATCTATAATTTTAGCTTGCTAGGAAACGCCTGATATCTATCTTTAAAGCTCAATCTCGTATTCCCGATGCTATCGAAGAGTTACGCAAATATCTAAAGATGTAAGTCAATCATAATAAAAATAAGAGTTTCGTTTTTTTAAATCAAACTTTTCCGATAAACGTTTGTGAATTTGATTCTAGCTCTTACTTATTTCGTAAACAAGCTCATTTTTGGGAATAT